GGGTTTAGGGTTCAGGAGGATTTAGTGACTTGAGTGTAGGCTTTAGGGTTATAGGGGATTGGGATATGGGGCTAAGGGCTTCATTGGGATTTAGCATGCAGGGTTTGTTTAAGGTGCGGGCTTCAATGTAGAGCTTCTTGCCTAGGATTGAGGCTTGGGGTGTAGGAGCTAGGGTATGGGAGTTTGAATTTGCCGCTAGGGTATGCGTCTTTGCTGGGCAGCAGGTCAATCTGTGGCAGTTTGTAACACTGACACCGGCGGGCCCCTTGTTTGTGTGCAGCGACTACGCAGGGTCTGCACGGGCATCCACGAACAATGCTGCGTTGACTGGAAAATCTCTGGCCGATGCACGATTATGTGTGGCTGGCCGACGTACATAATACATACACATGTAGATACATACGGGTTGCAAGCCCAATCACAAATTCTTTCTCCCATTTACATCCTTCCATTTTTGTCCTATCGCTTTGAATGGTTTGAGCAACTTTGTATTGGCATCAAGGAAACCGCATCGTTCTTGTTCATCCCTGGCTGATTTAGGGCCAGCCTTTACATGAGCTTCACCGCTAGGGTTTTCACACAAACTCACATATGTGTGTATGTACATACATAGAGAGAGAGAGAGAGNNAGAGAGACAGAGAGAGAAGAGAGAGAGCGAGAGAGACAAAGAGAAAGAAAGAGAGAGAGAGAGAGATGTGTACATATATAAACGCACATATGAATGAGAACACAAGGACGGACGGATGGATGGATGACGGACGGATGTATGGATGGAAGGATGGATGGATGTAGGTAGGTAGGTAGGTAGGTGATACGTAGGTGGGTAGGTAGGTAGGTAAGTAGGTAGATAGGTAGGTAGGTAGGTAGGTACGTACGTACGTACGTATGCACGTATGCACGACTGTACATATGTACGTATGCCTTCATGGATGCGTTTTTTTTTCCGTATGCATATGTATATTGTACATGAACACAACAGTCACATAAATGCACATGGCGAGCATCTAACTGTAGCAGATCTGCGTCCAATAGATATGGTTGTTTCCCAAAATAGTGTCCCCAATTTACACCCCAAAGCAATATAATCCTTAGTATAGGTACCCCTAATTTTTGGGAAGCCCCCATATTGAGACCATGTTCAGCCCGAGGAAGCCACATCTCTCAGCTTCGCGTAGTTGCGCAAGAAGCCCTTGAGGTTGTACGGGTCCTTCACTAGATTGGTTGTCGCTGAGTTTTTCCCTAATTACCACGGTCCTTCACAACAGGAGTCCCTAAACCCAAAATCCTAAACCCTAAACCCTCCCAAAAGTCGGGGTACCTTTTTTGGGGATCCCCAGAATAAGGATTATAGTTTTCTGGGGTCTGTATTGGGGTGCAACTCTTTAGGGAAAGTACCATGTAAATACAGGAGCTATGCAATGCCTTACAGGGACCCCTGTGATCCTCTGAGGTTTCCCTCCACTTTTTGGGAGTCCTCGGGCACCCAAGTTTTGAGAAACTTCATACGGAGCTTCCCAAAACTAGGGATACCTGTTTGGGGATCCCTACAATAAGGATCATAGTATATTGGGATTTATCCTGATGTCCCCCGATTATAGGAAACTACCATATGGTAAGGTTCAAAGGTTAGTGTCAGTAGCGCACGCCAACATCACAAATACCTTACGGCTGCACAACAAAAGGCCATAATGTCGTAAACTGCCCCATGAAGTAGATCCCATCAGCAGCAAAGCAAGACCACCTCGAAGAGCTCCGAGAAGCCGTACTCTTCAAAGGCTTTGCGCAGCCCCTCATCGGCAGAAGTTAAACCACGGGGTCTTGAATAGAGGGCTATCAATAAAAGCTAGTCAAGCTGTTGCATTTCCCAAACCCTGCTTGCTTAACAGCAATCGGCTGTTTGGATGCAATCCTGAAGCTAACGTCTTCAGCGCTATATACAAACATGCCTCCCATGCGTTCAATGAAGGCGCCGCAAAGTTACAGTATACCCTAGACAGCAAACACGGCAGCCTCGTAGCGGGAAAGAATCTCCTCAAGCAAAGCCGGGTCCTCCCGCATCGGTCACACGGTTTGTCTCTGAGTATTGCCCAAGCCTCATGATATGAGCCCCATGTAGCTTCATTCTTGCTGCTTTGGCTGGACCGTAGGCCCTGTAGCCTAGTTTCAAGGCTCCCCTTCGTCCTGCCTAAAAAGGATGAAAGAGAAATGATTTCTTCGGGTATGTCTCATGATGGTAGTGGCTCTTCTGCTGAGGACTTGAGACACCTACTGCTATTTGCCCCCAGGGTTCCTAAACCTGTTGATAATCCACCCCTGGGCACGGATTGCATCCAGGAAGCCTGCTATACACTGGCAGGGCATCTTCCTCCTAAGTCCTGCAGTAAAAGCCCCACGGCCCCGGTCTTCTTTTAATCATAAGGAATCTGGGAGCTCCCAGAATAGCTACAAACACTCTTGTTTAGGGTTTAGGATTTAGGGCTTAGGATTTAGGGTTTTGGGTTTAGGGGGTTTAGGGTAGGCCGTGCGCATGAGCTTCTGTTGATTCTGTTGTTTACATATTCGGAGGACCCAGTCCAAAGAGGAAGCTCAGGTAGCAACCTTCACACCCAAAACCCAGACCCACATAACACAATCCCCAAACCCAAAGCATGAAGCTCAATACCCTAAACCCTAAGCCCCAAACCAAGCCCTAATTCTGAGATCGTAATGCCGAACCCTCACTCCTTAACCAGGATTCTCAAGTTCCCAATGGGCCTTGAAGGCATCACCCAAGCCGTACTTCTCGAAGAGGTCTCGAACCCTGCAACAGCAACATCATGGCTTTTTTGGCTTCAGGGTTTGCTTGGGGTCTGAACTTTGACTGTAGAATTTGGGGTGTCAAGTTGGGGCTTGGGGTGCAGAGTTTTTTGTTGGGACACTTTTCAGTACCTTCCGTTCTAGGCGTGATACCGAACACTTCAACCAGAGCCCAAAGTGAGTCCACCAACCCACAATGCAAGTCCAGCTATGTATATTACGAAACATCAAGTGCGATCAACGAATGTAACAAGAAAGACTGTAGCACATAAGCTGATGATAACGTGGGTTTCCCGTACCCAAGAACCCCTACATATCCCTGTATATCCCTATACATGCCTCGTCAACCTGCTGGAAACACTAGTGCCAAGTCGGATCAGCTAAAGACTGATCAAAGTTCTTTCACGCGTGTCTAAACTCTAACTCCTAAGCCTTAAGCCCTAGACCTTAGACCCACAACCCTAATACCCCTAAACAATAAACACACCACCCTAAACCTAAACCTAAAACCCCAAACCCTTAACCTCCCTAAACCTCAAAACCGTAAACATCCCTAAACCATTCAGCCAGGCCTGCGAAGCAAGTCCAAACTTTGCTTCAGCTCCTGGCATCCAGCAACTGGGTGGCCGTTGAGTTTAGGGTTTAGGGTTTAGGGTTTGAGGTTTAGGGTTCAGGATGTAGGGTCTAGGGGTAACGGGCATATGCAATAATTGGCATGGTTCCCCTAAAGGATCCATAAAATGGAAACCCCCCAATATGAACCCATGACTACATTGGGGAAACTAGAGGATTCTTAGGGGGTCGCAAAGGTAGGGGTGGGGGGTATGTGGGGTGCATCATGCTGGGTTGAGAGAGGTGGTGGCCTAGCCCTCCATCCATCCCATCCAGCTTAGTTGCCATATGAACTATAGTCTAAACTCCGAGTATCCCCCGTAATAGCCCCTATAGTAGTCCCGGATCCTATATAAACCCCTTTAAGGAGTTTAGAGTGTGGTTCACATGAACTTGAGAAGAGTCTGAGAACTCGCTTGCCCATTCTTGCATTCCCTGGACTTAGACCCTACTTGTAGGTTCAAGCGACTTAGTAAGTACGTCTAACTGGGCTTATGACCCTACTTATAACTGGGGTAACCCCTATAAGGCCTACAAATAAGGTAATAAGCCAAGTTGAAAGTAGTTACTAAGGCCCATAAACCTCCAAACGCTCACCTCCTAAAAGGAAACCCCGTTTCAGGAGTCTATCTTCCGGGCCCCTCATGCTTGTAAAGCTAGAACTTGTGGCATCTGAAAGGCGCTAGTGATCCTTTGTACCAGGGGCACAGACTGCAGAAATTTGCCTGGGAGAGAAACATGCAGCCTTCACTTCAGGAACACAAAACCGGGTATTCTCCCCAACAAAACCGGAGTGAAATTAGGGTTCCTTTTCAAGGTCCCCAACACTAAGGGTTATAGTATTTTGGGGGGTAAAACTGCATGTAGTGATGCAAGCCTTTTGGGGATCACCTTCTGGCTGGTATAGAGATTGTTTGGAGAAGCTCCCACACGGCACCTTGGAACCTAAACAACTTGACAACCCCAAGCCCAAGTCGCACGGCTAAGGCTTGAGGTTTAGAGTTAAGGGTTTAGGGGTTTAGACAACATATGGTTCAGGGTCTAAGCCCCAAACCCTAAACTCCGAACCCTAAACCCCAAAGCCTTTGAGGCACCTCCAGCTTGGATGGGTCACCGAATACATCACCGAATCCAGCTGCCTGCAGGGCTTCATGATGGTGCAAGGAGCCCGATTCCCCTTAACCAAGGAAGATGCCCTAAAATCACATGGGTGGTTGTCAAAATTATGGTCCCTTTTTGGGTACCCTGAATATTAGGTGCCGTATGATAACAGGGATCCAAAAAGGGACCATAATTTTGACAACCACCCACATAAAGGATCGTAAATCCTAGTAGTATTTCGGTAATATTCCTTAATCAGGGTGTGTTTGGCCCTCTGGGACACAGGGCCCATTGGGCTGCAGGGGTATCTTTGAGCTCACAAAGTGAACTGGTTTCCAAGTGGACTTCAACATCGTGGTAGGGCCTTCTCCTTCCAGATCAAGAACGTACCCTCCCACTGTCCTCTTACTGGGTTGCTATTGGTACGGAACTTACACTAAGTCTCTATAATGAGGAGACCTTACTCTTTGCCATACGTCCATATCCATATTGTCAAAAGCTTGCAAAGCAACAGGAACCGATCGGATATGGCGTAGCAGGGGCAGAACATACCTAGGAAACAGTGTCTTGGCAAAGTTGGAGTCCGGCGCATGGCGTCTACAAAGCGCGGCGTCTGAGACTGCGCATAGCATGCGGTCCTTCCAACGGAGCATGTCTAAGGTTCTACCAGTTTGACAGGGCAGTTTCATACAGTCGTCATTTGGCTCAGCTGCCTTAGACAGAACCCCGTCCCACGTTCAATCCATACATTATCAGAGAGAAACTTCCATAGCGCATATGAGGTGCATGTCTACCGTCTGCGTAACCCTGAACTGAACCCTAAACTCGAAACCGCAATCTCTACGAAACTGAGTACACTCCCGTTGCGTTTGTCTCTGTAAGGCCATTTATTCCCCTCCCCCAGGCCCCTACAAACACCTGATAGGGCAAAATCTTATGGTAGTTTCCACCAATAGGGACCTTCAAAATGGTCCCCTTATTTGGGGAAGTCTTAAAATAGGTGGAGGTTTTATTGAGGGAGAGGATGACCCCAAACCCTGAACCTTAAACCCTAAACCCTAAACCCTGAACCCTAAACCCTAAACACTAAACCCTAAACCCTACCCTGAACCCTGAACTGCCTCCAGCATGTCGCGCAGCTGCTTGGCAGATCGGAGGAAGTTCTTTAGCTCCTGGGGGGCTGTCAAGCATGTCCAGATTAAAGATTGACAATTAAAGGTGAATAATACTAAGAACAATATTAATAAGTATGAGTACTAGTAAGAGTACTGTAGTAGTAAGAACCGTGCTTGAATACGTACTAGTACTAATAGCAGAAATGTAGTATTCGAAAGAGTACTTGCAGGAATGGTGACAAAACTAGTCAGTAATTGTGGGATTGCAAAGATTGGGATTTGAGTCCAGACTTTGGGCATCAGAGGCGCAAGCTCTACGGCCAGTGTTGTCACTGGGTGACTGCTGGGATACTACGCCAGTTTAGAGCTTAAGCTCTTACTGCTGACAGTTGTCAATGGAATTTCTTGCTAGGCCCGTATCTACAATCTGAGAGCTTCAGTCAACAGCACATGGAACAGAGCGTGTCCACTGAACGACGCTGCAATCTGAATCTTAAGCCTTTAACCTTTAAACCCGCAATCTATGACCTGAACACCCTTGGGCCGCTGAAGCTAGAAGCCTAGGGCACTTCTCACAACAAAGGTGCGTAGAAAAGTCGACAATAGTTCTGCTCAAACAGAAAGCCCGGAAACCAGGTAATCCTCTGGATTCTTCAGCAGGTTTTCGAGACCCAAATCCGCAAAGGCCTTCGCAACAAATGTATGACTGCAGCATGCTTTGCCGCAATTTTGGTAGGTGAGCGGTAGGAGGTGGTAACAATGATCATGTATAGTCCCCCTGAAGTCGATAGTATATGGAGTATGTAGGGATCTTACTACGTATGACTATGGGCTATATTCAATCTCCTTAAAAGGACTATACCCAGAAAATGTTTTTGCAGGTCTAGCATGAGCCAGCACATCTACACTGAAGACTACAATCTTGGGGCAGCTTATCTCTAAGTATGCTGGCCCCAAGAACCCACAGAAGTCGGCGATTTAGGATTCAAGGTTAAACCTGGGTTCCATGGGATCCTAATTCATGGACACGCCCATATGGGGCATGTGTATACACTTTTATCCCTAAGAGTCCATGGACCCAAGTAATAGGGCTTTAGGGCCCAAATACCATGAATATTATAGTGTATTTGGGCCCCAAAACAGATTTTTGGGGTCCTTGGACCCTTAAAGTAGGCAGATTCTTGTATGTTCCCGGGATTCCTGGGGCTCGCCCCTTTCAGACAGTCCCATATGGGGGGTTCCCAGAATCAGGGGTGCATTCTTGTGGGTCCCTTCAATAAGGACTATAATATGTTTGGGTCCAGCTGTTTGGGGAAACTACCACATGCACTCACCTGTTGTAGGTATGTGCAACACTTGGCCTCCAGAACTTTTCGAAGAGCCTGCGGCAAAGGAGGCTTGAAGGGAATCCGTCCATGTACTGCAGGGATTCTGCTGAGGGTGAAATGAGAGCTGCTACAGGAATCCCGGGCCTAATCCCTAAGCCGATCCCCCTAAACCCTCAAACCTATAGCCCTAAACCCTAAATCCCTTGAACCCCTGAAATCGTACTAGAACTTCTATAGGCTGAGTTTTGTCCATAAGCAAAGGACTTTCAAGCGCTGACAACTCTCTGAGCCTTCAGGACTACAGAAAATTTCATTACTGGGGCTTGGTGGAGAATAAGGGAATATATTATAGAGGGAGTATATAGCAACTATATTCGCTTATTTCCTACTGCCCCCAGTAAGTCTCAGACCTGAAGTCAGCCATATGTTTCCCGAGTGCATAACGAGGGTTGGTTCTTGTTGCTGAATTTTCGTCGAGAAGTCATTTTGCATGTGTATTGGGCATTCACGCCAGTTATGGGAAGCCCTCAGCAGCCCCGACACTACCAGCTCATTGTCAATCCCATCCTTCCTAGCCACCAGCAGGTAGCAGGTCCCCGAGGAAAAAATGTGCATACATGCCTTTCTAGGTCCCTGAGCACTAAAGAAAGCCAAGCTGCATGGGGGCTTGTGTTGAGAATGTAGGGTCTGTAGGCGCTCCCCGCGAAGTGAATTGCAGAGACCCTAAACCTCCGAACACGCTGAGCCATGGCTACCTCCTTATAGCATCGTAGCAGCATTAAATAATACTAAATACCAACAGTAATACGACGACGAGTAAGAAGAATGTCATTGTTGAGACCTGGGCTAGGATGTTCACAGTCCTGCAGGGTGGGTTACGATCTCAGGTTGTGTTTCCATGTTCCCGACAGCCCCTGGTTTGTTGCTTTTTGGGGAGACATCCTGATCCTTGAAAACTATCTGGCATCTTATAGAAACACTTAAATATCCTCCTAGTCCCCCACAAATTTCTCCTATACCTAAACCCTAAATTATGGAGCCCGAGGAAGAGCTTTGCATGTTGAGACGGAAGCGGATGGCCTCTGGGTTGTCCAGGAAGTGCTCCAGTCCCAGGTCTTTGAAGATCTGTCAGTTGGTAATTTCTGCAAGGGGGGCTCCTAAACAGTTTAGGGATACAAGGGAATTATGGGGGGTCCGTTTTGGGATGATTGGCTCCCATTTTTTAGCGTTTCGGAAGATTATTGTCCATCTGAAAACAGCTTCGGGGATGCAACGGGGGACCCCCTAGGGTTTAGGGTTTATAGGATTTAGGGTTGGGGTTTTTGGCTACACAAGATTTATAGGATTTAGGGTTAGGGTTCTTGGCTTTGAGATGTGCCCCCAGGAAGGTTCAGAGGACTCGTCTCTGTTGATACAGGAACTCTTTCAACACCTTGCTGCGCCTTTCCTAGGATGTGGGTTTTTAAGAGTACCATCCTCCCCCAAAATACCATGGAACCTTAAAGAGGACCTGTAGACGCTACGGTCCTTTTGACCACGGTCTTTGGGTGTCCAAATGTGTTTGGCAGGGGTATCGCATGAATTTCTTCTACCAACCACACACAAGCAAGGCTTTTTTGGAGTGGTTGAACCAAGTTAGAATATACTGTGTATAAGATAAATACTGTACCCCAAAGGAGGATATAATCTTACTCTATATTGGGGTCTATACACTCCCCAAGTACAATACTATTCCCACGGGAGCTCCATCCCCCAAGCACCCTGAAGATTACTGGGAGGGTCATGGGGACTTAGTAAGTAGGTTAATAACCCCTATAACCCACATAGTAGCATCAGTTATCCCTCTTATTAACCTACTTACTAAGTCCCCCTGACCCTAAACCCTAAACCCTAAACCCTAACCTGACCCTCCAAGTACTGGAGCTTTCAGGCCGGGATTCACCAGGTGGGTACCTTTACCGAAGGCTCAAATGAGGTTTAATTTAGACCTATGACCCCTCCTTTTAAGGGCCTAAATCTTAGGATCCCTATATATCTCTATTGTAATCCCGTTAAGGGGAGGGTGTTTATTAATCAGGGGTCTGGGTTCCATGGGCGGGGGGGGACTGGGAGGTATATAAGGGCTAGGTAAGGCTCACATGGGGGAAACAACCCGCCTGGAAATTCCTTAAATATTACAAAACACTTTTGCAAAAAGCCTCTGAGCCTAAATCTTGCATGTAGACCCATAGGCAATGCACGTCCAGACCACGATGAACAATGATGATTACCAATCAGCACTCGCGTCACAGATGATAGAAAAGGCGAGAGTGGGGCCTCAGGCCGTGGAGGGTTCATGCAGGTTGTTATCGTAGCATCTTCTTCCATCATCATTATTCTTTATCATCACGTGCATCATCATCAACATCACCATCATCATCAGCAGCAGCGCCGCCATCGCCATCACCATCACCATCACCACCACCACCACCACCACCACCACCAACATCATCATCATCATCATCATCATGGCCTTTGTTGACCAAAGTTCTGGCTTTTAGACTCAGAGCTGTCATATGAATGTTGATGTCACCCCTGAACTGGCATAAACGAAAGATAACAGAATTTGCATGAAATGCTGATACTAATGATAGAACCGCTCCCACGGCCATCACCGCTGCAAGCACCATGATCCATATGACCATCCGTGACCATTGTTGTACTTCGAGGCGCCTTCTCGATGGACTGGGCACGCTTAAGGAACTTGGCCAGAGCCTGCGCAAGGCGAAATCATGATGACGATAACAATAAATCTAACAGTAATACATAATAAATCTAACTGTAGTAAAAACAACAATAACAATGACTGATGATAGTAGTACAAGCCAGAATACTGGCAAATTCGATCAAATCTTATAAAGTACTCACCGTAATACTGAATAATGATAATCATAGAAGCCAAATAATTGGCAAATCTAATCAAACCCCCAAACCAAAAACCCTAAACATCATGGCTCTCCTTGGCCTGTGTTGGGGAACGTTGCTCCCAAAATTAGGGGTACCTTCTATGGAGTAGAATACGGGTTATACCACTTTGGGGGTAATAAGTGGTGCAAAAGTTCATCCGTGCACCCTAGGGAGCAAGACCAAAGGACATCTTGCACTTCAACCAAGCCCCTTCCTGTCCTGGGATTTCCAACCACGCCTTACGTAAGGAAATTTAATCCTAAACCCTAAACCCTAGATACCCACCCAAATGATGGCACAGGACCCACAGACCGGTCCATCCCGCGTGCCTCAGGATCATCCATCAGCTTGCCTGGCGACCAACTGGACCCGGGCAACTATTGAAGGAGATTTAGGCTTAGGGTCTAGGGTTGAGGGTTTAGGATTTAGGACTTAGGGTCTGGGCCTTTTTCCTTGCAGGCTGAGGTTTGCCTAGCAGGGATCAGCTGGACGTACGTCACAAGAGTCATGTTTTTTTATTGTGGTTAAACCCAGTAAGATTATATTCCTCATATAAACAACTATACCCCAAAAGGAGGAGGTAATCTTACTCTATAATGGGTACCATAGTATCCCCAAATAAAATACTACTCACAAGGAAAGTTCGACGTCAAAGGTGGCTAGTCGGGTTTGGGATCTTGCATGACACTTTCTTTACATGCTAAGCCCGACACATCCTAATTAATACCTCTAGAATCCATGTTTGGCAGCTTGCGGTATTTGACATCGCTTGCCGCTGCCTAGTCCCATCTCCTCGAACAGCTGGCGGATTCCGTCCAGCTCCTCCTGCAAATTGACTTGCTGGTTGTTAGAAGAGAATGAAAAGATGGAACAGGAAGTGGAAACTACCACATTATCGGGGACGGTATGAATGCTACTACAGGGATCCACTCCTCCATTCCCTGTTAATAACCCGTAAGCCAAGGGGGGCCTTGAAGCCCCTGCCCTCACAGCGTGCTTGGTCCCATGTCATGATTGCCACAAGGGAAAATCTTGATCTATCATGAACAGGGTCGCAGGCGTTTTCATGGCCAATCAGCCTCGCGGCTTTTTGGCTCTTTTTCTCGGTGGTTGGGGGGGCATTCAGCACCAGCAAGTCCTCTGAATCTGTCCTAAAAAGTAATCCCTAAACCCGAAACCCTAACCTAAACCCTAAACCAAAAATCCTATCCATATCTATAATAAAGTAGTTTCTATTGTCTTTTCCATTATTCCCATATAACCCCAATCTACTATAGCAGTTTCAACCCCAATCCTCAAGATGCTTGCACTTCGCTGCCAGTTCTTCGCCTTCCGCCTTTGCCTTTGAAAGGTCGGTAGCCAGGGCCTGTGACTGCTTGCATTGTAGGGAGCAAGGTTGGGGATTGGGGTTCCGAATTTGAGGATTAGGGTTTAGGGGTTAGGGTCTAGGTCTTAGGGTCTAGGGATTATTGTTTAGGGTTTAGGGTTTAGAAGTTTAGGCTTTAGGGTCGAGGGTCTAGGGCTTAGAGTTTGGGATGTGTTTTAGGTTCGGGGCGTCAGGTTCCATCTTGCGACCATGGCAATCCCACTCTTCCTGGGGTGGTGCTGGCCGGCATCCTCAAACATACTCAAACCCCTTCTACCCACCCAAAAGCGGAACTAGTGTGCACCGTCAACACCCTGACCATAAATCCCGAGCCCTTACTTTCCCCCAAAACCCTAAATCCTAATCCCTTGATCTCTCAACGCTGACCCATGGACGCCAACTGAACCTCTGCGGTGGCACACCCTGCCTCTAGCTGGGCCTTGTACTCCTCAGCAGAGACTGATAGCTCGTCCTGGCATTTTTCTCTGGGGTGTATGGGCTACATAGTTTCGAAGTCTCACAGGTTAGGATTTAGGGTAGGATTTAGATTTCCTCCGTAGGACCCTTGAAGTATTGTAATTCCCTTTATTGGGGGTGTACAGGCTGCTGTAAGACTTCCTGCACCCGCAGTGGAGCTGGGTGAGCTGTCCATCGTACATCGGGCGTGAGTTTGAGATCCTAAGGAAATCCAAGGCTTGACACCTGGTTTAGGGTTTAGGGACCTTGCACCTACACCCGCAACCCAGAACGCCATAAGCTACACCCAAGGCCCTTCAACTTGAAGCCCAAACCTTTCAGCCCAAAAATCCCGAAACACTGAACCTCAAACTCGAAACTAGAACTTGCCAACGCCAACCCTTCAATCCCAAGGTCTCCGCCAACATCTGGGCTAGTTGCGACTATTCAGTGGCTTTGTTCTTCCTACAAGAACGGCGCTACATCGAGGTTACATAGTGATTATATGAGGTGTGTGAGGCTATGTGTATATATATATATACTGAGGGATTATATGGGGTTCAGGGTTTAAGGAATAGTTGAGAATCACATGGAAAAGGCTACCACAAATTGTGACAGGTGGCAGCTGCAATTTAAGCTTTAGGGATTCCTCCGGAATCCTAGTTCCCCAGCCCTGAGTATATCCTCAGCCGGCCATAGCCTTAAACCCACACAAAAACACCAAACCCTAAACCCCTAAACCCAATCCGTCCTCCAACTTGGACGCTCGCTTGACAAACTCATCAAGCCTCTGTGCGCGAACCTGGGGTTTAGGCTTTAGGGTTTACGGAATACGGGGTTGTAAGGCTGGCGTTACATTCTAGGCTCCTTGGGAACTCAGGGAACCCCCAAAACCCATCAATTAAGAAATATATCGTAAGTCCTACTAGAATCCCTGATATGTTTCAATTGAGGGGTATTGTGAATACATTGAACCTGAATCCCTAAACCGCGTCTAAACTTGTAGGGGGTTTGGGATGGAACCTTGTAGGTGCAGAGGGAAGTAGGAAGGGGTGCCACTGCGGTGGGAGGAAATCTCGCACCCTCTAAACACCCATAAGGGTTTAGGGTTTAGGGAACTACATTGCTGCAGGGGTCCTAGGTAAAACTACCCCCTCAACCGTGTCAACCGTAAACCCCTAAACCCTACACCCCTAGACCCTAAACCCTAAACTTTTAAACCTTAAGCCCCTAAACCCTAGGCCCCTAAAGCCCAAACCCTAAACCCTGAGAATAATAGTAACAGTAATAATAGTAATTATAGTCATCCGTATCATCTTTCTGCTACCCTTCGCCTCCTCCTCTTCTTCAAAGAGGCGATTCGCAGCTTTGAGCTCATCTATGGAAGGCACCTCGAATTCAGGGCTTAGAGCTTTAGGGCTTTGGGGGTTTTAGGGTTTAGGGTTTGGGGTTTTAAGGCTTTGGGGGTTTAGGGTTTTTGGAGTTTGGAGTTTAGGGTTTAGGGTTGAGGATTATTGGGTTCGGGAATGAGGGCTTTGGGGCTTTAGGGTCAGAGATTTGGGGGGTTGAAGATTAGAATTGAAGGTCTTGGATTTCTGGAACGTTGGTTTTAGACTATGGGGTTCAAGGTTTTTGTATTTCAGGGGTGTTGGGTTTTTCAAGTTTGAGGTCTGTAGAGTGTGTGGCCGGGGTCACGGACGTAGGGTGGAGGATTCCACTGGCAGTGTAACGCAGGAAGCTCAAAAACCCAAGCCCAAATCCTCTTCTGATGATAAACCTACCCGCCAAGAATGAAGATTTGCCGCGTGGTAGAATGCTAGTATGGTTGGGGGATTCATTATTAGGGGGGCGAGATATTCTTATTCGGCGGAGGGGATTACAATCTCCAGGTCCTGAAGCCTACCAGCCTTTTCAAACCCGAAAATGGATCGAAGCGCTTCCCCGCGGATGGTGTGCCGCCAGACTTTCAGCTTCTTGTCGCCGATAGAGGTGGACCAAACAATCCTTAGGGTTTAGAGTTAATATTAAGGATCTTAGCATTGCTTTTGGAAGATCTACCGTGTAGATTTCAGGGCTCAGGGCTTGGGATTTAGAAGTCAGGACTCGGGGTTTAGATGTTTACTTTGTAGAGTTCAAGGTTCAGGGCTTTTGGGCTTTACAATCTCAGATTTTAGGGCTTAGGGTCTTAGGATTCAGGCCTAGGATGCAAGATGATGCAAGGTTTAGGGCTTAGGGTTTATGGAGTCAAGGCATGGTCAAAAGTCATGTATGCTGTTCAAGAGGCTTCTTTTATTCTAGCCGTACATGATAGAAATTCAAAAGTAAAACTGCAAGACTGCCAAAGGATCTTCGTCTCTATCCTGTCTACTGTGAGCAGGTTGGAGACGTAGGGCTCGTGAGCTGGATGTTCTGCAGTTTTGAAGAAATCGGACTGGGAGAACACCTGAACGGCGTTTACTTGAGCTATAGTAAAAACTCCTAGTATCCTCCTAAATTACAGCTACAATACTCCCCAACATAATCCCCTATATACCCCTCCCTTTAAGGAGGTCAGACTACAGCTCACCTAGGTGGTGTTTACTTGAGAGGTTGAAACAATGAAGGCCACAACCCAACAGAGGGGACTGTAGGGACTGTAGTATCCCCGATTGAAGAATTTCGCACCTGGTAATGTAGAAACAATTATGATTACCAATATACTGGTGAGGTCTGTTTGAAGCACCCTATACCATAATCGCACAAGGAATCTGGGATCACAACACTGATAATCACTCAGGCTTCTACATTGCGTACCAACATCCTGGTTGTTTTGGAGCTGTGGGCTACAAGAAGAGACTACTGCGACATCTCAAGTCATGTCCCTTCTCTTGAGGTCCTTTTCGTCTAAAGACACTATGAGTACTATGTGAGACGATGTCTAGAGGCGAAAAAAAAGGCACATGCCTGCCTGGATATTCGGATGGTGCCCGCATGTCCAGACATCGTAGCCCAACGGCACAATCGCATAGGCCCCTTTGTCATAACCCTCCGGCGCTACTTGCCTCGCATGATGGCAGCTCTGGTCAGGGCATGGATGACGGGGACCGCAGGAATCTGGGTTGCAAAACTCTAGCGTCCGCTTCAACGAGGTTTTTGTGCTGATTCTTCCCTTCCTAGCGACTACAAACATCAGGAGTTTCACCACTCCTGCTGTGGCCTTCTTAGCACTGCTCAGTAAAAGTTCTGCTGCTACTGCTAAAGTAGTTCCTGCATCACCGGTGAGGAGGCGGAGGAGGTGGAGGAGGTGGAGGAGGAGGATGGGTACATAAAGAGGGGGCGGGAGTTGCGCGGTGTCATAGGCGAGAACCTAGTCAAGCTCTACAACCCCCGGTGGAACCAACGAACAGAGTGCAGACGTCTAGCACACGCCGCCCCGATTGAATGGATACCACCTTGAACATTTTGCGGATAACTGTAGAGGAATGGCTCTGATAATGACTCAATGACAATAACAATCAGTGATGTTAATGATAACACTCACAATCCAAATTAGACTTCATTGTCATGGATCTTCCGGTCTCTCCCTACAGCAGAGGAGGGCCCAAAAGCAATCGAATGTCCATTTGACGGACCGTCCAATTTTGCATGGGACGGGGGTTTAGGGTTTAGGGATCAAGGTTATGGGTTTGTGGTTTATGCACACCAATAACCCATTACCCATCTCAAGCCCTACACCCTTCAAGGCTGACACGCAAGATCCTGAACCGAGACTATCTTTTCGGAGGATCCCCCTCCGTAATAGTGGTATAATAGGAATATAAGAGGACCTAATATAATCCTTATTGTACATCATAGTCACGATTAAACTGGGGATTGGGGGGGGGGGGTCCGCCTAAGCCATCTTAATCCCATGGTCCCCCCAGCCAGCGCCAGAAGTGATTCCCTCCCCCTAGCATTAAAACCCCGCGCACCCAATATTACATATTCTCATTGTGGTATACCATGATATTTTGGGAACAGTTAACATTAGGGGGATTGCGGGGGGGGGGTTCTTATTGTTGGGAGGGGATAACCTAGACTCCAAAATCCTGCGACCTGGACACCTGACGCACTGGCGTTGCGAGCCACCAATTGTCCACTCGCGGATGAAGCCATCGATGCCCGAGGACCAAATAAAGGACCTACATGGGGGTCACATACGGGCTACAAAGCTTACTCATTCTTAGTAGGGAAAAGGGAATATAGTATACTCCCTAGACTAAATACTCCCTTATTCCCTACTAACCGCCAGTGAGAAAGGACTTGCGTAGCATTGTCGAAGGGGTGCTGGGAATATAGCCTTCAATCTGTGAAGCCGTCTGGAGGGCAAGACTTCGCCGTACCGATAGTCCTGGTTAGCGCTGCCACTGCCATCACGTAATGGAAGTGGAGAAGTACAAGGCAACCCTAGAGGTTAAAAACCGCAATAATAGGGGGGAAGGGGGGGCGCCTAAAGAGCAGATCACCTCTCCTCAAGATGCAACACCACCCCTACAAAAAATATTGACCAATGCGTACGGCATCTTACAAAGAATGTGTCTAATTAGGGGGTTAGGTTGGTTAACGTTCATGGGAAGGGATTAATTGCGCACAGCAGTCCGATGATATTTCAGAACATATCCGTCTGTAGGAAGGCTGTTGAACACGCTAAACCCTAGGACTCTAGTTGCACAGTCTCGCTGTAGGATCATGTACCTGCAAACGAGTGCAGAGGAACAGTCTGGTCTGAGGAACCTCGTGCATTTGCACCCATCAACCAAAGCAAAGGGGATGACTAAATTGGTGTTGAGGGTGGGAGGGTATTGTTTACGGGGCCTCTGAACTACTACATTTTTGGACCAGCAGCCTCACAACGGAAAGCTTCAGCACGGAGCCCACGTGCGCCTTCTCCACAACCTCATTGCAGTTGCCTGCGCACTGCAGCTTCTTCCGCAGAAGGCAGACTACGTAGTACCTCCCTTGTCTAACAAGGACTTGGTTTAGGGTTTTGGGTGTCCTTGTTAAGTCTTTTCCTGGCCCCTACACTACAAACTCAAAGGCTGTGCACCTGCTAGTTGCCATAAATAGGGAACCCTGATATAGACCCAAGTATAATATAGTCCTGACGATGGAGACCTCAACAAAAGGATCCGCAAACTTTTGGAAGCCATAAGCCCTACAACTCCCTATACAACCCTACATAACCTCCATTAAACTACATGCCCCCTGAGAAGGGGCTCCTCTTCTCCGAAACCCCCACCTGTGGCGGTGCACCACAAGCGGATGGTTCCATCGTCGGACCCTGACCACAAGGTCGGACCGATGCGGATCCTCAGCCACCATGGGGTTGAGGGTCTGTACGGTTTAGGATTTAGGGTTTATAAAGTTTAGGATACTCTAAGGTCACAAGTACCTCAATGGTACATAATTTGGTGCCCGAAAGGTCCCTCTATAGATACTTTGGGCACAAGCTTATGAAGAGATATTAAAGAAAGGAAGCACAAGGACGCCACAACCATGACCAACTCACGACATCGGGTGGACTATGGCCTGTACCCACAAATTCCAAAACCCTAAACCCTAAACTAAACCCCCATCCCCAAACCCTTAACCCTAAATCCTAGACCCTGAACCCTAAAGAGCCCAGACGCAGGCATCGCACGCCGTTCTTGTGTCCGTGCATCTGCAGGCCCTTGGAGATCGCCACTTTAAACTTGCCAAGCTCAAGGACAAATGCATCCTTAACCTGCGGATTCAACAGGCTTCACGCTGTAGCTTACCGGGGATTGTCAGGGAATTTCAAAGTGCTGGCTCAAGGGTAGCATGATCAGGTTACAGGAGGGTTTCGGGACCAGCCGGTTTCCCAGACTGCTTCAACAACTTGTGCCACCACCAGTCGCCACTCGCCACCCCGCCATCACTGTAACCCGTGCTGTGCTGGGACCCTCATGTCAAAGTGCAACCACCACCTCAAACTCAACCCCTGCCACCCAGGCCTCTGTGGCTGTTCCCGATACTACAATTACCATCCCTATTATTTTTTGCTATTCCTCAATTCCTTTTTTCCCTCCATTCATTATTCCTGCCCCTATTACTATTACTCCTTCCTCTTACCGTTACAGTCATTGGTATTGATCTTGGTGGCCCAGGCCTGAGGGGCTTCATCTTTGGCGTGCCAGGTTTCGATCGACCACTGCCGGATGGTGAAGTCGTTGCTGCCACTCCAAGCCCTTCTCCGCGGGATGTGGCCCTCCTTCACAACTAACCCCTTAAACCCTAAAGCTCCTTCACAACTTAAACGTGTGTAGCACAATCCCCAAGAAAAGTTAACGGGGATGGAGGCTATAGAAACAGATCTACGAACCCAGACGCCTGAATTCATTAAGAGCGGTAGGGCATTGGCATCAAGAAAGTGGAAGGCTCTTCAATCCGAGCTGTAGGGCTCATTGCTTGAGGGTTGAAGGCTCAGGGTCCATTCTGGGGGGTCTTTGTCATTAGCATCCTACTGTAGAATTCGCGAGGCTCTGAGACTCTAAGGCACATGTCAGCCCCAAGAGATATCAAAAAAAAGGCACACAAAGAGTTGCCCGTTTGGGAACTGGGGCAGGGCGACAGGATGACTCAAATCTGTATCGGGGTAAAATACAAGATACCTGCTCTTGATGCAAAAGAACCCCCATGAAATGTCTCACACCCGGGGTCCCTCCCTAGACTATGTAAGCTCTCTTGTAGGGGTTCCCCGAAAGGATTGCGGAGCCACTATCTTTTTAGAAAATCTCAACCCCGGAGCCCTAAACTCCCGAACCACCCTGGACCCTAAAGTCCTAAGGGTCCAAGTACCTAATAATCATATACTTACCCGAAACCTGTACCATAATTACTATTACCCTAAACCCTAGTACCAAATTATTGGGTACTTCGACCCTAAACCCTAAACCCTACGTATATATCCCCTATATATCCCCTCTATATCCCCTTTAAAGGGACCAAATTATTGGGTACTTGGACCCTCTGGGAAAGTTCTTAATCCTACACCCTGAACCCCAAATCCTACACCCTAAACCCCAAACCCTAAACCCTAAACCCTAAATCCTACACCCTAAATCCTACACCCTAAACCCCAAACCCTAAACCCTAAATCCTACATACCAAGCTCCTTCAGCTCAGAAGAATCCAGGGCGTCGCCCGAAGCTAAGCAGGTTACCCCTCCTCCCAAAGTCTTCGGATTTAGGGTTTAGGGTTTAGGGGTTTAGTTTTTAGGGTTCAGGGTTTAGGGGTTTAGGGTTTAGGGATCAGGGTTTAGGGTTTAGGGAGGCTAGGGTTAGGGCACTCCTACTAGGTGGGTCCGTCTTCAAATCATGGGAGCTTTTAGGATGTCCTTGCAGCAAGGGTTCTGCTGAGAAAATTGGGGAAAGAACTCTGACGCTTGTGTGTTGCAAACGAGATTTTGCCTGACGGCCCATAGGGACCAATGCTGGTTCACATGGCCTATTTGAGATGTTTTGCTCGTTGGCGTGAGTCCATGCAGAAACTGGATAAGTGCGCAAGCATGACCCCTACAAGTCTTGTTATCAACATTCTTGCCACCCATGATCATTAACAGCGTGATGCCTATTTACAGCAACAGCACTGTTTGAATCACTGGTTTCAGACTTTGAGGCCGGCAGTATAGCTGCAAAAAATGGCATTTTGCAAATTAGCATTGAGGGAGCCCTGACGTCAGGGCTGTTCTTTGTTTTAAGTCGCTCTTTCTTGGTCCATTGTACCCTCAAAGACCTGCAAATAATTTGGCGCCCACGATCAAAGAATCGAGGATACTTCAGCTAGGGGGGAGCTGTTTCTAGAACGGCACTGTCATGGTAGCTACCAGCAGAAATACAATCTCCACTGCCAGGCAAGGTCCTGTGTGGCCGCCCATGAGGGACCCTTTGAACTCCTTGCGCTTCGTATCGAACAAGGAGATGCCCATTGCTTCCTGCATTTACTTGAACCAAGGGTTTAGGGTTTAGGGGAAAGATGCTGAGTCCCAAAGGTTTCCTGTATCAAGAACCCCTTTCCATGTCTCTGCAGCGCCACATCCCTCTACTCCATTACCCTCTTCCCAGCCAAGCAGCAGGGAATTAAGGTGGCTGCAGGGTCTTAAGCTGCAAAGGGTTTTCTTACATCGGTAGCTTCCAAGCTCACGGTCTCATTTTCGCACCCCAAAATACTTGGAAACACTACGGAAAACCTGCCGAGAATTGTGAGAACAGCTTACATGCAGGTAGTCTTTCCTGAGGGTCCAAGTACTTAAATACTGGAGCTTAAGGCACCAACTACCATCATCTGCATGGCTTCTTTCTAAGACCTCCGTATTCATTTATGGCTTTGGGCTTGCCGGGCGTAAGGCTTCGTGAGGCCTTAAGGGGAAATTTCATAGGCAACTTGGGTCTGCGGAATTCTGTACCGTTCGGGCGAAGTAGGACTGGAAGCGGAGTTGAGGATCCTTATTGCTGTCGCCAAATGGAATGCTTGCAAACTTACTGAAACAAACTGTTAAGAAGTTGCTGTAGGAGCTGGGCTGAACAACTCTGCACCCGAAATCCTACACCCTATAACCTCCGTTTCGCCTATCCTGGCCCATCCACATGAGGTGCGGCTCCATGTGAAGCATGCTCCATACGAACCTGACTTGAGGTCTCTGAAATGAGGTGATGGTCTCTTTTGGCGGTTCCCAAAAGCAAGTGTGATGGTACTTGGGGTGGTATAAAAAGGAGCTGTGATCTGGGAAGACACCTCTAGCGGCACAGAGCGCTAGAGATAGAGCTTGGTGTCAAACTTGGCTTGCAGAGTTTGGGTGCGACTTCAAGTTTGGCCTTCCCCTAACACCCCAAACCCTAAACCCGAAACCCTCACCCACCCTAAACCCACAACCCTAAGGCCAAAGCCTCAAAGTCTAAGTCGCAATTCAGTTCTGAAGCTGGCTGGGGGGCATGCGCTACCTTTTTTGCAAGTCTTCATGACATCCCCTAAGGGTCCAAGGAGCCATATAATAAGGTTTTAGGGCCCAAATACTATAGTATGAATGGCATTTGGGGCCTACAACCCTATTATTTGGGTCCTTGGACCCTTGGGGATCTTTATGCTAGCTGGCGCTACCTTTGAGGGTTGCGCGGCGTATTTGGGTTTCGGGGCCTCATCGCTCGTAACCGACCCCAATCAGGATGTTTGTAACCTCACCTACGTTAATATAAAAGTCGCGTCAAATAAAGCCCGTGCGCAAGTGTAAGTCCGATATGTATGATATGCATGTACACATGGCGTGTATATGCGTATGCAGGTATATTCTTGGTCGCTTTGTAATGCCCCACGAAAAGTGTAAGTTTTCGCTCCCTTAATATTGGACAGAGGAGCCTCCAAAGTTTTAAAGTGCTAATATACTAAAGTCCCAGCTAGCATGTATACAAATTTGTTAGTTTCCCAAAATTCGGGGACCCCAATATAGACCCCAATATACTATAGTCCTTATTATAGGGGCCCCCGAAAAGGTACCCCTAATTTTGGGAACCCCACATATGAACATCTGCAGCGATCTCAACCCGACGGGTCCCTGTCAGCAGCGCTCTAAAGATGAAGCCATGGAAAGCTGTAGCGCATTTGGAGCCCTAAGGGCCCGAGGACCCAAAAAATAGGGGTTTAGGACCCAAACACCATTAATGTCATTTTATTTGGGCCCTAAGACCACGTTATTTGGGCCCTTGGACCCTTAGGGAAATAAGCCCATAAGATCGATACAACATAAAACAAAAGGTAACATCGGTGACTTTATGGGAAAATCTTGGACTGGCGCATCTGTATGTTGAAGCGAGTAAATGAAAAGGGCAGCGTTGTGGGCCTGAGATCTACGAGCGGAGAATGTGAGTGGGGTACAAATCACCACAGCAGCATTTCTGAGACAGACTCCCCTATGGTTTTGGAGATTCCTGGGCTCTTTAGCTCCCCTTATTATTGGTATAAAGTATCCCTAGCTCCTTAGCTCCCCCCAAAGGTATGGGTAGCAGAACGCACTGAGACCATTTCTCAGATAAAACCCTAAGCCCTAAACCCCAAACCCTAAACCCCAAACCCTAAAACCCTAAACCATAATGGGTACCATAATATCCCCCAAATTAAATACTACTCTGAGACAGCCCAAGAACCGGTTTGTGGGAATTTCGCTTCTCACCTTCGTTGCGTCGTCTCGCTCCCGGACGGTAACATTTCCTGGGTTGCTGTTAAGGAACTTAATTTAAGTTACTAGGGTTTAGGGTTTAGGATTTAGGGTTACTATATTGGGGAAAGCCTATTATTTACCATATATACCCATTATGGTAACTTAGTTTAAGTTCCTTAACAGCAACCCAGTTTCCTGCCCAATCGACAGTCCACACTTCCTGGGCGCTGGAAGAACTGCAACAAACGAGCCTTACGCCGAAACCTCCATCCCCATAGATCTACACTTTACACCTTAATTAAACACATTGAGCTTCACGCCTACTAAACCCCTAACCTGGGCTCAAAAGCAGAGAAAACAAGGCATACCACTTAGTCCCAAGGTTTCCATGCCAATGCAGATGGCGTTTCTGACTGCCAAGCCTAGGTTCGTCTGCTTTGCGGTTCATAATGGACAAGGAGGGTGGAAAAATGTTTTACAAGCTAAAGTTTGGGGTTTGGGGTATAGGGTTTGGGTCTAGGGTTTGGGGTTTAGGGTTTAGGGTTTGAGGTTTGAAGTTTGGGGCTAGGTTGGGCCCCCACGCCCTAGTGGTGACAACAAGGGACAAAGGTACTCATATTAGGGCTTCTATATGCTTTAGGATTCAGTTTCTGCAGTCCTGAGACGCTTGGTGCTTTAGGAGGGACCCTTATTAACGGGGACCCTGGAAGCCCATGAGGGTTGATAGGGTTTAGGGTTATGGGGGCCGCCAAGGTATATACGGGGTATGTCAGCACTAGATATGGGTTGGTCCTTCTAATTACCCTGGGTTCGCTTCTTGCCAGGTAGATTTCACAAAGCTGTAGACCAGGGTAAAGAGGTGGCAGGTTTAGCAGAGATGTAAAACCCCAAACCGCAAGCCCTCACACCCTAATTCCCAAATCCTACTAAGCCCTACAAGCCTAAACCCGAAGCCCTAAAGCCCTAAAACCTAAACCTTGACAGTAGAAGCCCTAAAAAGTAAGTCATGATGGGCGTGCCCGACTCTTCCCATATAGTCCCGGTTAAGTAGATAGAATATGGGGTATATGGGGATCTCATTATAATCTACCCAAAGCCATATTCTATCTACTTAAGGGGGACTATAACCCTAAACCCTAAACCCTAAATAGTAGTTTCC